GGTCCACCAATGATAGCGGAGATGCCAGATGCAGAGCGCGAAGGAACAACGACGGCGTCAAGGTTGTATGTAGATAGTGCGCCGAGGAGCCCGCCTTCGCCACCGAGGTAGAGGTCTTCTTGGTAGGCTTCCCAGAATTCTATGTCGGTGTTTGAGAAGTTTTGGGATTGCGCGATGGAGCTGTCAAAGTCTGCTGTGTCTCTGTCGGGGTAATCCTCCTGGGGGAAGTTTTGGGTGAAGTTACGGACGTCTTCTAGGCTGTGGACGTCGTTGGGGTTGTATGTGAGTTGCTCAAGGTAGTGCGCTAGGTTGGGGACGAAGTCGCCGTCGAGAACGATGCCTTCGGCGTTGGATTCGAGATACTGGTCCCAGGCGGTGTAGTTGGTGTTGTCGACAATGACGGCGCCGGCGGAGCGGAGGACGTCGAGAGCGGCTGTGAAGGCAGCGTAGATGGGCGCGGACTGGGGACTGGGTGTGCCAATAGCGTTGCGCGGTACTCCGATGCGCCTTCCTTCTAACGCATCCAGAGTGCATGCAGCAACGTAGTCGGGCTTGGTGGCGTTGGTTGCATTGCTCGCCCAGGGAATCGCAGACGTGTAGTTATCGTAACTGTCAGGTCCGGAGATGGCTTGGAGAATGTAGGCTGCATCTTTGACGGTGCGGGCCATTGGCCCAACGGTGTCTTGGTGCTCAGAGATCGGGATGACAAGTGCTCTGCTTGTAAGTCCGACAGTAGGCTTGATGCCGACAACATTGTTAAGCTGGCTGGGGGAGATGATGGATCCATCCGTCTCTGAGCCGAGTGTTCCAAAGGCAAGACCGAGACTAGCAGCGACACCGCTACCACTACTGCTGCCACTTGGGTCTTGGCCAGGGTAATACGCGCCATACGTTTGACCACCTCGAGCAGTCCATCCATTCGAAGAGTTCGAAGATCGATAGTTGGCCCATTGCGAAAGATTGGCCTTGCCGAGGATGATAGCACCAGCTTCCCTCAGTTTCGCAGCGACCGTCGCATCACGTGGGACTTTGGCACCCATCAGTGACCAAGATCCAGCAGTGTTGTTCATTTCGTCAGCGGTAGCGATATTGTCCTTGATGAGAATCGGTAGTCCATGGAGAGGGCTGCATTCAGTCAGCGAAGGATCATGCAGATTCTTGCAGCACAACTTACCCACGAAGCTTTCCACAAGCTCGCTCCTCGTCCAACTCTTTCGCGATCGTCCAGGCATCTGGATTGATCTCCAATACTGCATGCAGAGTCTTGTTGACTTCGATGATGCGTCCCACATAAGCCTACGTTATGTCAGCGATGCTGTCCAAGGTAGATCCATGCCTACACATGTTGGCAAGAAAACCGGGAACCTACCTGGACTAAATCCAAACTTGTAAAGTCACCAGCCTCAAGACCAGCAGCCAAGTCCTCTGCGGTAGCATCCAGCAATAAAGGCAGTTGAGGTGTAGTGACGTTGTACTGTGCGTACACAATCGTCGTCAGCGGCGCAAAAGCCACAAAGACCTTTGTTAGAAACCACGCCGAAACCATGATGACGGTTGCGAATGCTACCGTTCGGTAGGAGAGTGACGAGTGGATGCGGTATCGAGCAAGAGCTGCTTTATTACTGTGTACGATATCATGTGTCTTATAGTCATGCTTCCCGTGGTGACCCGAGAAGGACTGCCGCCGTGCACCCATGTCTGACCGGGATTATGCTGCGCGCGCGTCTTCCCCGCGGTGCAAATGCAAATTCAATCCTGGAAGTGTATCGATCTGCATGATAAGAAATACAGATATGCGGTGTCACCCTCCAATTTGTGGCCGTTGTTGCGAGGTAATGGTTGGCATGCAGGTACTGTCCATCTGATTGACCCGCCACACCCTGGTACCTGATCAGCGCAATACACCGGTGTCACCCGAACAAGATACTCGAGTAGCCTGTAAGCCTGGGTCTCTCACTCAGTCGTTCCTCAATATTACAAACACCTCGACAGTTCATTGTGTAGGCTTGAAGCTGCAAATGCGATTGCGGCAGGTAGCAATGCAGATCATAGACGAGAAAGGAAGGTGCTAAGGGAAAGAATCGTGGGATCGAGCTTGACAAGTGCCCGCGGATGTCTAACGGGCTGCTGGCGACGGATAGTTATCGATACGGCTAATGCATATTTTCCATGATGTAAACATGGAGTTCTGTTTGGAGTTTTGGGGTAACCATTGCTATCGACCTGCCGTAATCGGCGCCTCTGGCTGCGTCTTACCTCCAGAACCTTGGTCAGCCGTCGGGTGCATGCATAGATTCTTGATCGGGGTAGGTGGTTTCGCGTCACTAATATCGGAGTATATCGTAGTCAAATGTCATGCGCCTTTGTCAATGGCGCGCTTAGTAGCATTTGGCGTTCAGTCAAAGTAGCCAGGGAAGAGCCATTGGAGCTTCTTCTCAGCCTCTGATCCGCGTCCCTCCTTCTTTGTCATGGCGCCTGCGAATCTCATCTGTCCGTCGAGGTGCTTAGCGAGCACCTGTTCCGTGTGCTCCTCCTTGCTGAGCTCGTTCAGCACCGCGCCAACGAATCGCCTGGCGTTCTCAGCATTTGCCTTCATGTGTGCCATGACCATCTCCACATTGACGTCCTCTGAGCCGTCGCCCCTCCAGCAGTCGTAGTCTGTTGCCATGCAGATCATCTGGTATCCGATCTCAGCCTCGCGCGCGAGCTTTGCTTCAGGCAGAGCAGACATGTTGATGACGCTGCCGCCCCATGAACGGTAGAGGTTCGACTCGGCGCGTGTGCTGAATTGCGGTCCCTCCATGCAAATGAGGAGTCCCTTCTCGTGGAGTGTGATGCCGTCTCCCTCCAGCGCGTGTCCGCACTGCCTGACAATTTTTGATAGCTGCTTATCGAAGGGGTCGCCAAAGCCAACGTGTCCAACCATGCCTCCCTCAAAGAAGGTGAATGGCCGGATGCCCTTTGTACGGTCGATGATTTGGTCGGGGACGACAAAGTCGCGCGGTCGCACTTCTTCTTGGAGAGAACCAACGGCGGAGAAGGCAATGATGGTGCGTACACCGATGTGTCGCAGCGCGGCTATGTTAGCCTGGTTCTTGACCTCATGAGGCGCGAGTTCGTGGTGAAGGCCGTGTCGGGAGATGAAGGCGATGGGAATAGGCTTGCCGGTCGAGGGCGACGGGTGTTGGAGGATAGAGACGGGCGATGATGGTTTGCCCCATGGTGTGTCGACGTCGAGTGTAGCGGCGAGGGTGAAGCCTGGTAGGGAAGAGATACCAGTGCCGCCTATGACGGCAATGTGAACGGGCGCTGTATACAGGGTAAGCATCTGGCCCGACGAGCACGGGACGGAAGGTGCGTACCATCGTAAGTGCTAGGAACGCCAGCCATCTTGCGATATGGAATTGAGACGCGTCTAAACGAAGTGCGAGGCTGGAATTGAGGTTTGAACAAGTTTGGAAAATGTTTAACGCGTAGAAACATGCGCTGAGGGGTGTCGCGATAACATTTTCTGCCATGGCGGGGTGCTCCTTCCCCCGGGCCCTGATGGCGTATGCTTCGGCCAATCGGAGCTGACAGGAGTTACACGCTAGCGGCCTTCTTTGGGCAGCTTTCCCTCACACGCTGCCCATTACTCTCACGTCCTCAGCATTTGGTTGCAGATTCAGACTGATGTTCTCTATTCGTAGCAAGGCTTCACCCATGAATACCCATCCACTCCTCCCTCATCGCCTCCGCCAAGTCCCAAACCTGCCCCTCATCCACCACAAACTTAACCTTATACATCTTCATCTTCTCCACCTGCGCGTCGTCAAATAGCATCGCCATCGCCCCCTTGCAATGCTCATCTCTCTCCTCCTTAGTCTTCGCCTCCGTCACGAAGCGAATCACTATCTTAGCGCCAGGCTTCAGGTCAAAGATGCCATCGAGAGCCTCACGCATTCGCTCCGGTGACTTGGGTATGCCAAACATGTAAGCGCGGAACGAACCGCGGTCATGCGAGACGGCATTCAGGCCGATTTCGACGCTGGAGACTAGTGATTTTGGGAGAATGCCTAGTTTCATCTCGTCGGTGGTGAGGAAACGCTTCATTACTCCTGGGTCGTCGCCGAAGAGGAAGGTGCTTGTTCGGTAGTAGTTCTCCACGAGCTCGCGATAGAAGGGCTGGCCAACGTAATCGGTATTCCAGTAGTGCGCGGGGAAGTGTTGTGCTTTCCATCTGTTGAAGTCGTAGGAGTAGAGCCTCGTTATCGGATCCAGGGTCGTCCGGAAGTGTTCGCGCTCGATGAGCTCGCGGTCTCGTGTGCTGAGGTGGAAGTAGATCATATCGCGAATCTCACGTGGTAATTTGGTCATGATGTTGTTGGTAAGCTGCTGGCATTCCGTCCGAGCGACTTGTTCGACTGCGTGTCTTGTTGATGGTGTGGTGTTGGCGAGATCTTTCTCTAGGCTTGCAAGCTCTTCCTGCAGTCTTGCGACACGCGCTTTGCGTACATTTTCTTCGGAGAGTGCTCTATCATTTGTGTTAGTCTGACAAAACATCGTTCAAGATGCGCATCCACGAGCTCGCTGACGTACCTCAAAGCACGCTTCCGAAGGTGCACGCATGTACAAGCACCCACACCACCAATCTCATCTGTCCTTGGGATTGCGTACATCACGATGCACATACTTTGTCGTTTGCTCAAGATTGAAGAAGATCGCGAAGAGAACGTGTTCCTATTTCAAGAAGTCGTACTATGGTGGTCTATCAGGGTGCTGCTGATCGCTTATTCAGGTACTCACGCCCTGCGTCTGCAGTCTGGACCCTGCATGACTTACGATCGACAGCATACTCCGCTTACGCCAGCCATCAGGTCCTCGAAAACTCTACCCATATATTCGAGGGCAAAACACACCCGTTAGGACGGGAAGGAAAGAAGCAAGGAGCAGACAACCCCATCGCCTAGCATTGCCAGCAGCTTTTGCCAGCTTCAACATAAGGAACTGTCAAAACTGGCTCATTTTCCAATCTTCTTCGACAAACCGCTCTTGATCTCCTCCATCGTGACGTCTCCACGATCAATAGTCACCCCCCACCCAAAATGATCAAAACACAACATGGCCTTTGTACCAGCAGCAGCTAGCCTACGCAGCGTCGGCAGGATAGCTGGAACGACGGTGTCGCATTCCCAGTATTCGGCGTCGTGCGCATTCGACAACCAGTCACGGTTTACAAGAAGGTGTAAATCGATCTTAGTGTCAGCCTTGAAACCGAATAGTGCTTCGAGGTCTGCGAGCAGCGCTCGCCGGGGTTTGAGCGGATGTCTCCCGTACGGAATGGTCAACGGTGCCGTTACCCCGTCGAAGTCGTACTTGTCGCATTGTATGCACAAGGAAACGTTGAGGATGTAGTTGGCTGGTATTACACCAAGGTTTCTCCTATCCAAGCTCCGGAAAGCGCCAAGCCTTGCAAATTGGTCTCGTAGGTCGAACGTGGATGTGCGATAGTACTTTTCGAGCAGCTCTACGGAGAATTCTGGAATGACGTATGCGGTTTTGAAGAGATGACTGTGGGGTTCAACGAAGTAATACAGTGTTTCGCTTCCCTTGGCGCAGGGCTTGCTATCGCAATCGCGATGGTCGCAATGCTCTAGGACGACCGGGGAGTTGGGCAGGAGGTACGCGTAGATGTAATCGCGTATTTCGCGTGGACAGACTTCGAAGATCTTGTCGCAGAGGCTACGGCAAGTGACCTGAGCGTACTTGTTCAGTTCGTTGATGGTGTTATCTTTCTGTGCTTGCAGCTGGGCTTTACGAGCCTCGTGTTGCACACTCTCCTTGATCCACCATTGTTTGAGCTTGACCTCTGTGCGGAGTTGCCTTGATGTATGTCAGTAGCTATGTGTCGCGATGTTCGTGCGGGACTTACTTGTAGCACTTGTCGCGGAGCTGCTTCTCCTGTTCTTCTGGCCGTAACGGGGCTGTCATTTTGGTACGAGTAAGGTGGATTGTAATGTTTACGATTTAGCAAGCTGAAGTAGTGGTTGAAGCGGGGTGTGGAACCGTGTAGTGAGACCAGGCGACCAATGCCGAGGATGCACCCCAATTTGTAGGCGAGGAAAGGAGTGAGAGAAACGGTCGTGCATCTGCCTGGCGACTGAGACTGAGACCACCCGCAATCATTGCGTCATGATGTGGTTCCCTCGCCTGGTCAGTCTTGCACTTTGTGGCCGTTATGGTGGATAATGTCACTTTCACGGAGTCTTTGAAGAGCGCAGGCTTACATTGAGTAGAGTGAATTTTGCTGTGTCTAGATACCGGAGTTGAACCAAAGTAACTATAAAGCTTTTAGAGGAGATGGAAATGCCAAAAGACTGTCTCATCACGGCCTGGCCGCTAAGTTCGCAGAGAGCAACTATGCAACCTTGTCTTCGCTATAGGAAATGATTGAATCGAAAAGAATGTGACCGCTCGCATAAATGAAAGGGATTACCACTGGGATCTCTAGAAGAGTCAAAGCAGAGATGTTGGTATGCGCTTTTGGGAATCGACATCATCGATGTCGCTCATCTGTAAGGTCGTCATTCTATCTCCGGGATGGACAATCATTGGATACTCAGGATGGAGCATTATCCCAAGATATCCCACCCCAGGCGTCGGGGGCGTTCATTGCCCAGGCGTCGGCGGCGTCGCTTCCAAAGGCAGCGCCATAATCAGAATCCTCGAAGGGTTCCCCATCAAGCTCAGCTTGTGTGATGCGCTTCTGTTCGACGTCGACATACTGTAAATGTTAGCTCATAGAAAACCAACTCGCAATTAGCACCTCAAACGTACCTCCCAGAACTCTTTAGTGAGACTCTCGAGTGAAGTCTGACCCCACTCCGAAGTGAATGTGGCGTGTGATCTAGCTTGACTCGCTGTGAGCACTGTACGGACCCGGGAACCCGCGTCTTTCAGCCGTTGGAGAACGGGTAGGATGACAGGAACTACGTTGTGCGACATCCACTCTTGTTGCTCAAGCGGAGTATGTTTTGCGCCATGACGTGATGAGAGCCTGATGGTAAGCGCTGTGCCATGTTTGAAACCGAAAAGCGACTCTAGCTTTACGAGAAGGTGTTTCTGAGTGTTTTTGGTGCCCACATTGTTGTTCTTGCGAAACTTTGAAAACGCTTGAAAAGTATGGTGGTTGCCGGGCACCTTGGTGTTCGGGCGATCGACAAGCTCGAACTTGTAATCGCCGCAGAGGATACTGACATCCACCTTGGAGACAAACTCGACTGGCGGAAAGCCGAAATCCCATACGTCTGTTGCTCGGAACTGGCCGAAGCCTGCGAGATTTCCCTGGAAAGCAAAGCAGGAAGTGCGATAGAAGTTTTCACCCAGTTCGCGGACCATCGCTGGGCCGACGTGTTCGGGCTTCCACCAGTGGTCTGCCCCATCATACGCAGGATCGAGACAAACCTCAAGACCCCACGCCAAGGCACCGTAGTCGGTATGCTCAAGGTTTCCGTGTTCGTCACAATCGATGCTGACATCCTTGAAACCAGTGATATAGCTGTAGATGGTGTCTCGAATTTCGCGCGGGAACGTCTTGTGGACTTGGGTACAGAACTCTAGCCAGTCGTTCTTTGCAAAGGCCAGGAACGCGTCGGCCGTCTTGGTTTTGTCGTCATCAGAGGTCTCTTGGAGCTTCTTGCAGCGGCGTCGCAATTTCTTGACCTTGGTCTTCGCAGCCGCCAGCTGGAGCTCGGTCTTGCGTTCTTGCTTCAGCGCCCTGAAAACTAAGATCAGCGATGGCTAAGGAGCGGTGAATACGACTTACTCGTTGCACTTCACGCGTAGGTGCTCACTCGTGCTTGGAGTTGTTCCTGAAGTGGCCATATTGGTAGGTGATTCAGAATGTGGGTTGGTGAAGGGTAGAAGGAGAGTCGGCCCAAGAGACAGATTAAATAGTAGACCAACGATCAAGGGACAGTCGGTAGCCGCGCGGTGAGGATAAGGTCACTAGCAAGTGAGTCCGTCTCCAAGTGATTGAAGGTAAAAGATGAAGTCGTTAGGCCCTTGATCTCAAGTAAAGGTAGCTAGTAATCTTCCCTTGGCGACTATGGAGACACGCCACCCATTGGATAGCGGAGCCCACAAATCATCGGGCACCCAAGGCCCGCCATATAATCGTATCCTCCTGACACTCGCACAACTCTTTCTCGATTTCAAGAAGCTCATCTCTATCAAGAGGCATGTATTCGTCGCGCTCGTCATCAGTACCGTCTTCTTCCTCATCCTCATCCCCTTCTTCGTCTTCGTCATCTGCTTCGTGCAGTGTATCGTCATAGTACTGTTCAAGCTCTTTCCGAAGCTGTAATTCCAAAGTCAGCTTGCATAGTGATGTCACGGTAAGATCATTCCTTACTTGTCTGAACTTGTCCGACCACTCATCGAGTGACATAGCTGTTTTCCCAGGTATCATCAGGTTGACATGATATCCTGGTATGATATCTTCGAATGCATATCCTTGCCATCCTCGCGATAATCGACAGTCATTCGTGACCATGTGCACAACGAATTCGATCGTCCAACCAGGAAGGTCCGGAAGCAGTTGCCTGACATTGTGTAGTAAGATCAGGAGTCGGTCGTCATTATAGCGCACAACGCCCTGGATGTCATGTAGGTAAATTCGTAATCGTGCCGGCTGGATCCGTAGTGTAAGATCCGCCAGAGCACGGGCCAGAAGTCGCTCGGTTTCCGGCTCGAACTCGTCGTTGCAGTCGATTGTAATCTCCAGCTGGCGGACTATCTCAAGAGCTTTGCAACTAGTACCGGCAGCAACACTGTTGAGGAAGGCTTTGAGGAGATGCAAGTCTGTGCCGAAGTCGAATGTACTTCTTGTGTACCAGTACTCCGCCAACTCTTGCCGTGTGGCCTCGCCAAAATGGTCATATCCGCCGCTGGCCAACAGACCGATGCTGTTGCTGACAAGCTTGAATGCGTCCGAGACACCGAGATCCTTCGATGCTACCACAGGTACGGTATGTTGGCCGTTGTGCCAGGCTGAGGGGCCCACAACTTGCTCATAGATCATGTCGCGAATTTCGCGTGGCAGTTTCAGCTGCATAGCTTCGCATAGCGGGCGGCATTTGCTTTGTTCCACTGCCATCAGCTCCTGCAGAAGTGGCTCTCCCTCAGGATCTTCGAGACGTTGCCTCAGATTACTTTCAAGCTCATCCTCGAGCACCATACATTCATCCTCGAGTAACATCTTCTCGGCCTGAATCTCGTTGATTCTGTCACGTATACGCTGGTCATCTGCCAACAGGACTTGTGTACGGTTCTGCTTCGCTCGAAGGTAATGGCGTAGGCGTTGCTCCAGACTGCAAATGCGTCATTACATTTCCAACACTTGGGATGGCTTCCACTTACGTCTCGCCATCAGATAGCTTCTTGGTGTTCGGCATATCTACGTCTTGCGCGAGAGAGTGTGGCTCTCAGATTGCTGGTGTTGGTGGTGGAGGCTGTGGAGGTGCTGCTCAGTCGACGCGGTCGGTCTTGTTGCACGGAGCGAAGAGTCGCGTTGGGATCCGCTAGCTGAACCCCACGTCACGCGAAGTCACATGGCAATCGACGATAGCAACTTTGGAAAGCCGAGCGACGTTTTGGGGTGTCAACCAGGTGGCCTGGAACAGCTGCGGGGGACGACGCGCCGAGAAGCGCGTGATCACGCGTGAGGTTTGCCCAGACCTGGTTAGCTTCCACGCTACCTAGCTTCCTAGGGAGCCCCCGCATCACATCGGTCTCCAAGCTGTCATGAAGTAAAACCACAGTCGCCAGCCTGAACGACACATGATTTTGATGGATTGGATGTGGATCAAAACAAACGAAAGCAGAACAATAGGTACCCATGCAGCCTGTCGTGAATATGCCTGCGCCGAGGCGCAGGTGCTACATAACCCCGCTCTGCGCCCCTGACTTTCCGCTTCTCATCGCGACGGGTACTTTTGGTAATCTTGACGCTCTATCCTACTTCCGCCTCGAAAAGCGCGCCTGCGATTCATCTTGGCTGCTTCGCCACTGCTGTAAGGATCTCACAACACGAAATGGAAATGTCCGGACGCTCTGCCACAAAGGCCATGAACACCAATCACGAGTTTGCATGTCGGAAGCTCTGCGAGAACGTAATTGCGACACTACCAAGGGAACTCAGAGACATGATTTACGAGTATATCTTGTCTTCAATAACACGCGACGTTGCCGCATTGCCAACAAGCGAGCCAACATCCTCCAAAGGGGGCCCTCGCTACTGGCAAGCCGAGAAAGTTGGCGACGCGACCTCGAAAGAGATACTCGAAGTCTGGTATCGCTTGGTTCGTTTTCACATAGGCCAGGATCTGGGTTATCTCGAACGCTTCCTTTCGTCTCAACCAGCACCCTTGGACACAACCCGCCAGCTGCTTGTCACAAAGATCAGTATCGCCTTCGACCTCAGAGATGTGGGAACTCACATGCAACCCTCGGGAGGAGGGGTGGTGAGGGACTCCGCATCCCGCACACGCATGCTGGAACGACTGGAGCACCTGTTCTTGTTGAAGGAAGGCGCCTCCATCCATGTCTATGTCATTGTACCCCATAACTACACCATACTCGCAAGGACACCAGATCGATATGCATATCACGAAAGAAAGGTATTGCGTGAGTTTACCGCCACTATAGCTGAGGTACTGTCGCGTTTGGCGGCTGCTGGATACGGCCTTTCCACCGCCATCATGCTATCATCAACATGGCCGAACAACGGCTCACTCTATGACTCGGTTTCGGAAAAGTCGACCAATGATACGCGAAGTTGCTTTTCCACTGAAGATGGCTCAAATCTGGTATGGCTGTAAGTGTCCGGTTGAACATGGCGGTAGGCTCTCGGCTGACAACGAATAGGAGACGCACACCACCTACTACTTCACGCTGCCAATGTCACGATCCAACTGGGATGACATTTGCGCCCCGCGCATGCGTGTTACAGTGCCAAGACGCTATCTAGATACCCGCGCTGCTGCCTAGCCCCGCACGATGTCAAGTCGTCCTTGCGCACCATCTTTTCGCACCCCAAGCAGATCATCACCACCCGGACAGGAGCACACCATGCGTAAAGAAACAACTGCTGAAGAAGTGAAGAAGCTGTATCAACAGGCTCTTGCGTAAGTCCCGACGATCCTCGCCCATCCGGACTAGCATTGACGCAAACCACCAGGGCCCGTCAGCATATCAAAACGCGATATACCTCTGGAGAAAATGAGGCGACCAGAAGAGCCATGGAAGAGATGAGAACCTTCAATAGCTATGGACAAAATGAGGCCGCCACGCGAGCCATGCAAAATTTGAAAATCTTCGATACCTATGGAAGAGCGTCATGCAGGTACATGTGCCAAAAGATCCTCATTTCGCTGCCCCCAGAGTTGTGTGACATGATCATCGAACGCGTCATAGGCCACAGTCGCAGGGGCGTCGCAGCGGGTGGAACTTGCGAGCCCATATATGCTTATGGAGACCATCAACCAGCCGCGCATTACTGGAACGTCGAGTATGTCGGAAGGACCATGCTGGCGAGGATGATGGCTGTTTGGTACCGCATAAACACTTTCAATATACAGTGGCGCCTCAGATCCACTCTGAGGCGATTCCTTAACGAGGACGCCCCTTGTATACACTCCCCGCGTTATCAGCTGATTACGAAGATTTGTATCGTCGTATCTCCAGATTTTCTAGCGTTCGACCCGAAGAAAGACCGTCCCAGTACTATACTCTATCGGATGTATTCTCCTCGAAGCTGGGAAGAACAAATTCGAGATCTCGAGCTACTGTTTCAGTTGCGAACCGGTGCATCGATACTCATTCTTCTTGAGTATCTGGATACCTCGGCGATGCCCGATGATTGTCAAACTACTCTCCTCTTGGAGGGTACGGCGCCCATGATTGAGTGTCTGTGCCGGTTGAGAAATGCTGGCTACGTTGTGGGTGCTAGCGTTGCTGGTTTTGGAGATTACCGCGGCTTGGTAGACGAATTTCAGTATCGTCTAGAAGAGATGGATACGTTGGAGCAGGAAACAAACTGCATGCCTGTGAACGCCATAGGTATGGCTTGGCGGTGAGTGCCCAACCCTTTACTAGCCTTTGGCTCCCAGCTGACATACATTGGAGGCCATCACCAGTGAAGGCTCACAGATTGTAATGCGCGCTGTTGATGTTATGCTTGGCTCGTCGGTATCAGGTCTCGTCACGCGTCATCCACGTGCTGGCAGGGCCGTGACTGCCCCGGCGTCCGTTTGCGCTATCTAGTGCGCAATCAACAACAACCACCAAACTTTGTCGCGCTTCCTTACAACCACAGCTAGCACGCCTATCACGTTAAGCCACCACCGAGAACCTCGTCCCGTCACTCGCTGAACCTATCGCGACTTTGTGTGCATCAACGGGAACTTCCACTGTCCCTCCCCTCTCATCAGATCGACGAGCAAGGCTTCCATCAGCATCCCCTAAGAGAACGCCGTTGTGGCCACTACCGGGGTCATGAGCTCCGGTAATTGGCGTATTGAGGCCAAAAGGTAGGCTTGCTTCTGCTCACCGCGTGCACAAGGCTGACATGTTGACAGGACGCTCAACACGATCGCGAGTCTTAGCGAAACCTTCAATGACAAGGCGGCCAAACTTGATCAGATGAAGAGAGCGAACCCCAAAGCGAGGCTCATTCGAGAGAAGCAAGCTCTGAGGAAGGCGAGAGGAGATCTACACCTGGCACGGACCAGCTTCACCGATCAGATAGAGGCTCAGGCTAAGGCTCACTGCCGCCCTTTCTGCGAAGCTGTCCATCAACGACTACCGCAGGAACTACGCGACATCATTGCTCGGCATCTTTTGACCGAAAGCTCTGTCACTTTCCTCTCCAGCAAGGATAACAAGATCTCTTTCGTCAATGGCCTCTCGACTTTACGACACGCTTTCGAGGAGGAATACACCGGCATCGGACTGCACGTGGATATCATACGTGAGCTGATAAATCAAGACGCCCGTTTCGATTTTCGCGCTCGGTACGAGCTACTGGGCAAGGTCTTCGAGCACTACGCAACCGACGAGCGCGGTGGCCTCGATCTTACTTCCAAAATAGGACGGTTGAGTTTGTTGGTGACAGAGCATCATTTGAAAAACCGTGAGGTTGTCCTCACTCGCCTTGAGGAACTGTGCAGACTCAGCAAAGGCGCCAAGGTTTTCTTTATCGTCGAGACCGGTCACGGTACGAAGGCTCAGACCATCCGCAAAGTGCGACGCGTTCTGCGTGTTCTCTTCAAGCTGCTTCGACGCCTTCATAAGCTCGGTATCCACATTTATGTCGTCGTCAATCCGGCGTATTCCGCTTCACAGGTCAAGAACGATAGCGGTGACACCTTCGCGGTCATGCATGAAGGTCCCTGGAGGTATGTCATGACGCCAGGTAATGCTACATTCACGGTTGAAGGCTTTGAGAGACGTCTTAGATATCTCTTTGGAACATACGGAGAGCGCTGGGATTCACGATTTCCGCCTTAGGATGGGTGAGTTGGGAGGCTTCAGGCCATCATGACGGGTTGTGTACGATAGTTACAAAGCTGAATATAGTCAGTAAAGCAATTTTGTATCGCAGTCACGGTTACAAATCACAGCGCAGAGCAAGTCGGTGTCTACTATATTGTATCCCGTAATCACATCAACACAACGTGCCCACAGGCTACGTCCTACTAGTGACCCTCTTGGGACAACCCAGTATGGTAGTCGTCTCGCATCTCAATAAACAACCCACTAACACCCCTTCTAGATCATCGTCGTCGTCACAGGTCCCATCTCTTTCCCAAGTCCACCAACTCCAGTAGTCACCGGAGCGTGTATTGTCTGCATCGTCGTCATCATTGCTGTCCCAGTATCTTTCATTCTTTCACTGATAACAGTAGTCACAGTAACCTTTATCGTTCTTGTAGAGCGCACCATAGTCGCACCATCCTTCAGGTGAAAGCTTCCCTTCTGCAAGAAGATTATGAGAAAAGCTGCGCCTGTGGCTGTACCAGCTAGTATGATGAGGAAGCAGGATAAGGCCATCGCGATGCGAAAAGTATCGCTAAGCCACACACGTTTCCACAGGGGCGGCGGTGGGAGGCGGTATGGGAGGTGTTTGGGGAAAGATGTTGGGGCTTTGGCTTGGGTTGCGGGTATCGTTGGGTTTGGAGTGGGTGACGCGCGTTCTTCATCAGAGGCACTATCGCTAGCCTCCTCCCAAGAGTCTCTTGTTGACGCGTAAAGTGGAGGTGGAGTTGACGGATGGGTGAAGCCTCCAGTGTCTGGAAGGCTGATCTTTTCGTTGTGGCTTTGCGTGCTGGACATGATACGAGTGAATAAAGTCCTGGATCTAAGGGCTTAAGCTAGTAATGTGGCTTTGTGGTACGATAGTTGTGATTTGGGAAATACAGATGCTTGTCTTGCGAAAGGTGCGTTGGACTAACGATACGATGGGTCGTGTAGTGAACACGCCCAAAGACTGTAGTTACACAATGCCGAACTACATCACAAAGAAGGCCTGACACCGATAGCCGTGCTGAGAACACTGCAGTATGTGCACCGACACCACCGAAGTATAGATCGCTACATATGAGACGTTCGAGTCGTTATTCGTGCTACTTATGTTGAAGATCATCATTCCAAAAAGATGCTAGCTTTGACAGCCACATGTTCAGCATTAGTAGAACGGCGTCAACTCTGCTGCTGTCACTAAAGTTCAAAGCCTACGCATGCGCAGACGAACAGATCCTACACGTAAATCCTCCCGTCCATGGTACACACATCGCCCGCTCGAACTTCCCATCTGCGAAGCAATTCCCTCTGCACTCCTCTACAGAAGGCCAACTACCCTTCTCACTGCAAATACTTTCCACAGGCTTCACCGGCGTCTGTCGAACCGGCGCTTCAAACGGCACCGTCTTCGTAGGCGTCGCACCGATCGTTGTTGTCATAGTCGTTGGATCTTGCGTTGTGTGTACTGGTGTGGATGTAACAGTAGTCGTTTGGTAGACCGGAGGTGGCTCGTGAGGACATCTTGATAGGCCGATCTTGATGCCGCCGAGTAGGGCGGCGATGAGTAGGGCTGTGATGAGTATAGTGCAAGTGGGGATAAGAAATCTCTTCTTGGTGAAAAATGAGTGTCGTTGATAGAATGGACGTGGGGGCAGTTGGGCTTCGTCGTCATGGGGGAAGTAGGGGTGGTTGGGGTCGATGTGGTCGGCGGGGACGCCTGTGCGTTGGGGTGCGATGCCGGAAAGCTCGATGTTGGGTCGTTGAGACATGTTCATTGGTATTGCTGCGCTTTTATGGGCTACTGGTTCGCTGTATATCGATGTTGGTCTTTAGTAGGCGGCGGGCAATAGGTTGCATAATGAGGAGGAAAGTGGCAGAGGACGTTATGTAACTGCTTTGACTACAGTGAAAGAAAGGAGGCCAGCGAAACATCATGATCATAGTGCAAGCACACTGCTCCAAGATTACACAATGGAAGTTTAGGTCAAATTACGGCAAGAGATGCAATATCGCTGTCATGTTGATGCGTAGAGCTGACACTTCACCTATTAGTGTCGCATCAATCAGCTCTTCATCAGAACTTAAATAGACTTGTAGCCCATTATACGTCGATGGTCTTGTAAAGATGTACTCGGTTTACTATCGCAAGACGACCGTGCAAGCACAGTTATGACGTCTCATCTACATGATCTCGAGGAACATACTTTTTCCAGTCCTCTATCAGCAGTCTCATCGTATCATCTACCAATTTCGGTATTTCATCTGTGCAGTGAATGGAATGTCTTGTCCCTTGGAAGTCAAACCAAAACCGATCTACCTTGCAACCAGTCATTGCGGCCTTTTCAAGGCCTATTGCGGTGATCGGACAAGCATGACCACAAAATCGTCCCAGTCTATTACTTTGACATATTCCATAAAATTGATAATCAAAGTTGTTCTTCTGGGCCCATGTAATGTCCATCGCAAGAGCAGTTTGCCAACACACCGAGAAAACTCTATTTTCAAGTGTATCTGCCGCTAATCCCTCGAGACATTGATGTCGAAGTACGGCTAGAGCGACGTCCATGAAGAGTTGATCGATCGACTTCTCATAATCGACTGTGACGCGCTGATCAACACGAACAAGACCGAGTAAACCGTAGATTTTGTCGAGCGGATCTGCACATCCATTGTCGATATAATTTTCCAGTGCGGCGGATATGTCGAAATGTGTGAATCCACCGGTTCTTCGCAAAGAACTCTTGCAGATGATATTATACGAGGCTTTGGGTACGGAGTGCCAGAGATAGTGATCGAGGGTTTCGAATCGACACTCCCATCCACGTGTGTCATTCACAAGCCAGACGCCTTTCACAAGGACCCTGATCTGCCTCGCTAGTATGAACTCTTGTACAATCCAAAGTCTTCCGAAGTATTCATTGTGAAGGATATAAGCCAACGCTGCTTGTTCTCCAACATCCTTCCATGCACATGCAGCATCGTACATGTTATCGAACTTACCGCATCCGCGTTCGGCGAGAAGTTCGGGCGGCGCGCAGGCTTTCTCAGATCCGTCGCCCAACCAAGCAATAACTGACGTAGCTTTGCTGTAGATATCGCTCATCATCTGCACCTGATGGTTGCGCTCCGAAATAGTCCACTGGTTAATGCATATCTGATCAATCCACAGATATTGATCTGAGGGCGTCTTGTCGCGGCATTTCCGGAATTCAGTGAGAAATCTGAAAAGATTGTCTCGGATCTCCAGCCTTCCGTCCGCGATGTAGATGGCATTGCTTGATGGTGGACCCCAGACATAGGATAAGGCTGTATACGGCGGGGCTTTTGAGATTTCGAAGACGTCGATATCCAGGCGTATAGTATCGTCGTTCTCCAGCGGATCCAGGAGCGTGACAAGACGTATCTGCTGTGTCGCATAGTCTAACGGCTGGTATTCGTAGTCGGCAGTCGTCGAGTTGGCTGCGGAAGACATGTTTGCTCTACGGCTGCCTTGCACCTCGAACTAACATGTTAGTACGTGTCATGTATGCGCGACAAGCACCCGTGTCACCTACCAAGGCACCATGCAGCAGACAAAGTAGACTTGGCGTACGATCAAGCCTTGGAAAGACCTGGGGACTATGTAAGGTTTGTGGTGATCGCGATAAGGAATTAATACAGCATATTGAATGTAAGCGGGGAAGATGCGCGTGCCAGCATGTTGCTGACTGCGTGGGCTGTGCAGATGTCTGTGGCTTGCACGATTGAGAGTCTGACCAATGAACAGTGAGGCGCCCGAGCAAGCGCTAGACCTTATCAGGCTAGTAGCTTCAGGAGCATGTTGAGCAGATGGCAGTGCAGTGACTTGAAGGACACCGAGGACTAGAGTCAAATCAGATCAGCGGGTAGTACACTTAACTCAGGTTAGCGATCGTGTGGACATAAATTTGATGGGTATATAGCGCCTTGGATGGGTATCGCATGGAATCTCTCAGAGCTCCAGAGCCAGGAATACCAGTTTGGTGTAAGGAAAAAATCCCGCTTTCTTTCGACCTTTGTGTTTCTCGGGACTATGAAGACCAAGACAGTCTGTAGGCCTTATCCGTGCTCTCTAGGTATCATTACCATACCGATCATCGGTGCCACTGTTGCGCCTACGCCGGGTCTCGGTGCTTCGATCATCGTTGCCTGGGGCCGGCTCTGGACGTCCATTGGCTCGCGCCTGATCCTCAATGATGTTTCCATGGCTCCCAGAGGACCGTCGAATAGGGCGTGAGTTGCCTCGGCGTGGTTGTCGTGGAGCATTTTGCGGGGGGCGGTTGCTACCGTCGTTGCTACCAGGTCCTGTAAAGCGTCGAGCTCCGTTAACGCGGTCAGGCGGAAGCTGGTAAGACGGGCCGCGCCATCGCGAACTGTTGCGCTGCCCGTTGATTGCTTCGGCCTGGCTGCTGTCTCGAATCGCGGGGGCGGGTGTGAGCATGCTGATATCGGTCTTTGCGCGCTTGGTAGGGGCTGTCCTCATTGTAGTGTCACTGTCAGGAGCTCGGCGCCGAGTGACTCCATGAACACTTCGTCCTTGTAGACCTTGGTCCTAGAACATTGTGAGCTTTGACCTCGACAACTACTAATATTCGAAGATATACCTGAAGCTGAGCACCCTGTTGGCGATTTTGACTAGGCTGCTGATCCTGCTTCGTCTGCTCCGGGCGGGTCTTGTCGTCTGCATCTTGGTGAGTGTGCTTGTCCTTGTCAAGGCGTGCCTCCAATTCCTCAATCCACATGTCCTTGGGGGTGCTCGTGCTTTGTTTCTGTAGTAGTCTTCGATTGCGCTTCTTTAGAATCGCGTTGAGGACGTCTTCTCCGATCTCCCCGCAAACTTGGATACGGGAGTCGTGTGGGAGGGGAATAACGTCTAAGACATTTCCAAAGGCGCCCGTCTTGGGTTGGTATGGGCAACCTACTTCTATGTCATAGACGCCTTTTTCTGGGGTGCACGCGACCTTACTACCCAGCTCTTCGTCCCAGCAGTAGAATTCTGCATCTTCTGCTTTCTTGAGACCGAAGCAATCCACGCGGACTTGTATGGGCTTCGATAATGGTCCGCGTCCTCCGGAAGTGCCGAGCTTTAGGACCTCAAGTTCGGTGGTGTTGTCGATGACGATACCGTATCTCGTCTTGAAACAAAACCAGCCAAACTGCGTCTGGACAGCATTGGGACCATTCGCTTCGCAAAGGACCACATGAGGGAAGTTCACAATTGTGCCCCTCTTGTAATTATCCTTGTCGACAGGGGCGTGATTGTTCCATCGTGTTTCCTGGGATTCTCTCCGCCGGGGCCCGCCGGTTTGTTCAGGCCCAGAGACTTCTCGTGCAGATAACATCATTGGCGCGCTTGACTGTCGATGCGCGATTGCGGAGCAGACGTCGTGACAAAGTTCTGAGAGAGGGTATACGCCGCTGGTAGAGCCGCCTGAAGTAGCGAGCGCTTAGATTGGTCGGCGCTGGATATTGGACTTCCGCAGTGTAGGATTCTGCGCTGATATGGCAAACAGTTAGCTCGCTGTGTTCATGTACTAGGGGGTATCGCTGGAGCTACTTCGGTCGTGTGGTATCGTGTCGCTCTCGGAAATGGCAACAGCTTGCCTATGAGCGAATTCTTGGCGTTGCATAGTGAATAGGGCGGCGGAGGGACACCGCGCACATTCCACGCTCACCTAGCCTGTAAAGTATTCTACGTAGTCGAATCTGCGCACTCTCTCCGTAATCCTCTGTCCTACAACAACTTTCTCGCCTTAATATCAAACTCGTCGAGAATAAGACATCCAAACGTGGCGACTTTCGTAATTTGACGATCGACGCTTTTACTCGACATCCGGCTTACATTATACCACAAACTCCTGAACATGTCTACCACTCAGGGTGTTTTAAAGACCGCGATAAGCCTGTACAGGGCGGTAGCGGGCTATATTCCTCTCCTCCGTCACTGCGAAGGCAACATTCCCCGCGATAATGGACGTACCGGTGATGGCGCTGGAGGACAGTCAATCTTATCTAAAATCGACATGTCGTCATTGCCTACCCAGCTTCTGATCACCTCCGTCCAGTCTGGAAGAAGCAAATACGAAACAATGCTGGAGCTCCGGTCCAAGTCGGACTCGATCAAAGCGGATATCGCGATGGTGAAGTTGAACGAAAAAGACGCCCGGTCGACAATCCAATGCAAAGAGGCGGCTATCGAGAGGATAAATCATCGGATGCAACATCCGAGTGGCAGTGGAGAAACGAAAGCCCAGCAACGTTGCCTGAAGGTCTTCTCGCGCGAGCGCGACGCAGCGATGAAGACCAAACGAGAGATGCAAAGATTGGTCAAATCGCTTACGAAGGAACGCGATAAGAATCTTTGCTTATTTGCTGAAGTCGTGATGGAGCTCCAGGATACGTTTCTTTTGCCAAAGGAGAAGGGTGATCCTATCATATCAGAGCAGCATGGGCATGATATCGTCCAGGAAGAAGTGGTGGACCAGATACAGGAGCACGGACAAGCCCTGATACAGCAAGACAGTAATATACCAGAAGTGAACAATGTTCAGTCGAACAATTCGCCAGGCGCCGCCCAAAGAATCGAAAGCGGCAACTCTCCCATCCGTACCCAGCCTGTAGAGGCTTCGCAACCCGACGTCCGTAGCATTGTTCTCGACGATGGCTGTCCTGATCAGCAAGCCGAGACCCAGTCCATCAACATCACTGCTGACAACCATGATGTATCGTTGGACCCGCTAGTGGAAGACAGGGGTGGCTCGCCATCCATCATAACGAGTTATTCTGCTATCCACTTCGAAGACCCGCAAGAGGTGCAGGGTATGGCTGAACCAGGAAATGATGTCGATGCTGATGGTCGGACAGTCGATGAAGTGCAAGAAGTCGGAATCGAACACGAGACCGGAGAAGCACTTCCCCACCAAGATCCGTATGTCAAAAGTTCCAAAGAAGAGTGGGATAGGATTGAGCAGGCCATCAAGAAGCTTGAGCGATGTGAGAAGAGTTATTGGGAGAGGAAAGAAAAGTTCGAACAGCACTACAAGACGTTTGATGAAAAGCTGGATAATTTCTGCTCGAGCAACCCACACTTGAGTAGAGGGGATGCAGAACAGAGATTCGGTGCAGCCTTCCTCAAAACGGGGGGACATCTCCGTTACTACTTGACGGTAGGGGAAGAATGGCTGAAGAAAGCCCGACTTGAGGCGAAAGAAGCAGGGGTCCATGACTGCAACTCATGGGACCAGGAGTCTGGCTTCCTTTCAGTGGCGGGTGAAGGTCCGGATCCAGAAGACACTGGATATATGAGCGATACTCGTGATCACGAAGTGGTGAAGGAGTGGCTGCAGATGCCTGAGGGCCCAGAAATCATGCAGCCTTCTGAGTTCAAATTCGCGACATCGAAAGTGAACGTCGATCCTTGGGAGAGCCATTCCACAAGGGGGGACTCAAGCAAACGGAAGAAGATAGACGAAAATGTCGACACTTGGGAAGTTCAGCTCTCCAAAGCGTACTCAAGCAAGCGGAGGAAGATCGATGGGAATGTTCCTTGGGTGGCGCCCAACGACAGCAATGATAGCGCATATGGCACGGCCAAGGAGGACAGGGGAGACCAGAAGCAATCGCAAAGCCCAAGGCAGAGACCTCGCGCAAGGGCAGAGGTAGCCCGCAAGCGACGTGCCCGATCATTCGACGCGCTTCCGGGTCACAAGGTTGTCAAAGAGATGTTTTCCGACATGCCTGTAGAGGATCACAGCGTGAGTGTTGACCCCTCTATGATAGTCGATACCGAGTACTGACAATTCCACAGGTCTGGATGAAGCGAGATTACCGAGAAGACGTCATCATGGTTGATGACGAAACGACCGACGACGAGACCTGAGAGACCAGGTAGCAAATTGACGAATTGCAAACATCGAAATCGGTGGAGTGGGAGGTGATGAACCTGCAAATGAAGCAGCTACACGCAGATGCCGGATGTAGCAAGTCGAAACCGGAGGCATTGGGTACTTCATCCCACTGGCAGCAGCGACACACGTCACCAGAGTCGCCACGCTACACAACAGCAGAGACTCTTCCGGTACATATGAAAGACTCGTATAGCAACGCGTCGAACGCGTCGTTGATGCGGAGGCGGAAAGCAGATGAGAAAAAGCTGATGCAAAGACATCGGCGAGGGCCGCCCGATGCAAAGAGGTTCTTGGAGATGCGATACTTCTCTCTTTCCCCGATGCAAAGACAACGGGAGGTACTCCAAACAACACCGCCAGACAGCTCGAGAAGCCACTGGACAAAGTTCAGGGCGTTTAGTACGCATGCAAAGACATGCCGCCGATGCAAAGATATCGCGGAAGAACTTGGTGCAAAGACATCGGGGATGAGCTCGGTGCAAAGACATCGGGAAAAAGTCCGGCGCCAAGACATCGGATAACACAACAGCCGAGAGGCCTGTGCACAAACTTCATAACCCTCCACACTACAGAAGACACACAGCACAAAGACTAGAGCGCGGATTTGGCTCGAACTACGGACTGATCCCGATTTGCGCTGAGTCACCACACACAATTACAGTACTGCGGTGACACGCCGGACACCCCAGCGAACAACATCAAAGCCCTCCATCGCAATCACATCGTATACCAACCGGGCTGGAATAGACGTAGTAGTAGTAGTACCTTGTACCAAAGAAGACATACAGCGCGCCTTCGCATGAATCTTTACACAAACAAGCCACCTATTCGGCCCACCTCCTTAAAGCACACCCTCCTGCCCTCCATCCTACTCCCCATATCTCCCAATCAAATCCTTCATAATCCCATAAGATCTGCACCACCATCAAGTCAGCAACAAGCCCTCCCATCCCTCCCTCCAACACAAACTTACTTCTCCCTAAACCTATCTCCCCCATGACAAGCACTCGCATGCAAGTTCATATAAGCACAGTAAAGCTTTCCTCTATCCTCAAACCCCTCGACCGGCTCACTCTTCCCCATAATCTTCACATACGCATCCGTATACTCTTGCCGACCCAAAATCTTACTAGGATCCCCGCGCCAGATCGCAATCTCCATCTCATGGTGCGCATAGTATGCACAGGCGTCGAAGGCGTAGATTTCGCCTGTTGTGGTGTCGGTGCCGATGTTGCCGTCCCAGAGGTCGCCGTGGATTAAGCTGGGTTTTATGGTGCGGCCGTTGTCTGTGAGGGGGTTGAGGAGGGCTGGTACGACGTGCGTGATTAGGCGATCGGTGCATTCCTGCAGGTCTTTCCAGGGCCAGTTGATGGAGTGATTGAGGTTCATGGCGCCGGCGAGGAGCTGGATGAAGAAGTCTTTCCAAGTGTCTTGCCAGGCTGTTTGCTGGGGTAGGTTGCCTTGGCAGGTGTTTATGTGGAAACCGAATTGTCCGGTTGGTGGCGCGCTGGAGAGGTGGAGTGTGGTGAGTTTCTTGCATAGTTGTTCTGGGTTGGGGGGTTGGGTGGTGTCCATGTCTAGGAAGGCGCAGAGGAAGAAGTAGGAGTCTGGGGTTGAGACGTTGAGTTGGCCGTATGCAAGGGGCTCGGGAACGAAGGTGGGTGCGGCTTTGTAGAGGGCACACATTGAGTTGTATTCGCCTTTGAGCATGGCTTTGCCTTGGTCGCCATCTGCGCACTTTATGAGCGTTAGCTGGGTTGCTACCAGAGTACCTTTTTATCGCCAGGAGGTTGTAAGTACCTTCAGGAAGTATGATTTTGGTGGGGCGTCTGCGCGTGTGGTTTCTATCTTTGCGGTGACTGTCCATTTTGATGCGCCGTGTCTGTTGCAGCTGTGGACTTGAGTACCGAGAGGTAGTTCTGCTCTACGATTAGTAGCTACCTAGATATATTACGCAGTGAGATGTATGATACATACTGTCAATGACGACCTGATCGAGTGGGAAATCGCCTTGGACGGATTTACCACAGCTTGTTCCCCGGGTGACCAAAGGAACTCTGCCTAGTGACTCAGTGGGCGGCTGCCACTGCTCTACTCCTTCTGGCGTGATAGACATGACCGATTTAAGTAGTTTTGCTTGTTAATCCTTTGAGAATACGGAGTTATGCTGGGGAAGTCCTGCGTGTTTCTATGCTACAACGGTCTGTGAAGGCTGACACTGGGTGTTCGCGCTTATGACCCATGACTACGTCGTCATAATTGGAATTCATTCACAATAACAGGGGCGCCCTTGAAGGTTTCAGGTACGTATCTTGTGGTTGGATGAGTCATGTGCATAGGCTTGTTGTCGGCTCGCGCTTTGTTCAGCATGGGCTGTACTACATTGAATACCTGCAGTCACCGAGCTAGCGATAATTTACATATAGTCGAACGACGAC